AGTCATTAAAAATGAGGGTTATATGCTGAAAATATTTAAACGTGAAATCTTAGATATGGAAAGTAGCTTCAGAATAATACAGGGGAAGATGAGGAAGTGGGTAAGGGTACATATGAAATTAACAACTGTTTCATCTGGGTGATGGCTATGTAAGGGTTTGTTATACTATTTACTCTTTTTTAATATACTTTTGAAATATTACATTAAAAAGTTTTTATGCCCTAGCCGGTTTGGCTCAGTGGATGGAGCATCAGCCCTAGGACTGAAGGTTCCTGGGTTCCATTCTGGTCAAGGGCACATAGCTTGGTTGCAGGCTCAATTGTTAGTCCTGGTTGGGGCTGTGTGGGAGGCAACCAATCGATGTTTCTCTCTTTGTCTCTCACCATCCCTTCCACTCCCTCTAAAAATCAATAGAAAAATATCTTCAGGTGATGATTAACTAAGACTAAAACTAAAAATTAAAAAGTTTATACGTGTTAGTTATGCAGATTGTAAGTCAATAAGGAAAATTGTATAGTTAACATGTGAAAATAGAATGTTATCTATACTAATAAAAGGGTAATATGCTAATTAGACAGGATAGACCAGATGTCTTCTGGACGTCCTTCTGGACAAAGCCACAGTGGTGGGGGCCGAGGCAGAGGCGATTAGGGATGATCAGGTCATCAGGAGAGAGTGGTTAGAAGTGATCAGGCCAGCAAGGGAGAGTGGTTAGGGGAGATCAGGCCATTAGGGGAGAATGGGGTGATCAGGCTGTCAGGGGAGAGTGGTTAGGGGGGATCAGGCCGTCAGGGGAGAGTGGTTAGGGGCATCAGGCTGGCAGGCAGGCAGAGTGGTCGGGGCGACTAGGCAGGCAGGCAGGTAAGCGGTTAGGAGCCAGCAGTCCTGGATTGCGAGAGGGATGTCCGACATCCCCTGAGGGGTCCCGGATTGGAGAGGGTGCAGGCTGGGCTGAGGGAACAACCCCCGCCACACACCCCATGCACGAATTTCATGCACTGGAACTTTATTCTATAATAATAATAGTGTAATATGCTAATTAGACCGGACATCCTTCTGGACTTTCTTTCGGGCGACCTTCTGGACAAAGCTGGGGCTGCAGGCGCGAGATCAAGGCAGCTGCTGTGCTGCGAAGGCCTACTCTTTTTTTTAATATATATTTTTTATGATTTCAGAGAGGAAGGGAGAGGGAGAGAGAGATAGAAACATCAATGATGAGAATCATTGATGGGCTGCCTCCTGCATGCCCCCTACTGGGGATCAAGCCCGCAACCCAGGGATGTGCCCTTGACTGGAATCGAACCTGGGACCCTTCAGTCTGCAGGCTGACACTCTATCCACTGAGCCAAACTAGCTAGGGCATGAAAGCCTACTCTTGCATGAATTTCAGGCATCAGGCCTCTAGTACACTATAATTACAAATATATAAAAATATAAGGACAAATGATAAATAACTCCAAGTAATAACTGATTGTGTTAGGATTGTCAATAATGAGTAACTTCTCTTTATTTTTACAAATTGTATGTCATATAAATAATTTTTCAAAATAAAGACTGAAATTGCACAATGTCTGCTTATCCTTTCTCATACTTGAGATTTCAGATTTGTTTATTCCATTGAGCATAGAAGTGTCTTCACTCCGGACTACACATCCCTGTAAAGCTCCCACATGCACAGCAAAGTTTCCATTTTGCTATCTGGATCCTCTCCTTTGTGTTTCTTTGCCACACACTGGAAATTCCGAATTAGGCCCTTCTTACTACCTGGGTTACCTAACCAGGCTGCCCAAATGGGGTTTGTTTTTGAAACTCAAAGTGACTTTAGCACAAGTCTAAATAAGACATAATAGGTGAATTAGCTACCATAATTATATCATTGGCATTTCAAAGACTACAGACATTCCTCCAGTTACGTCCGACTCAACCTAATTCGTTTCATGGTTCCATTGCCATCTCCCATTTATTTATAAAAAAAAGAAGTTCCGTCATTTTGACATATGTGCTTTATGTTTTGTTTTTTTTATTTACCACATGTATAGGTCAGGAATTGTTATCTTTTTTAAAAAGTTTTTTTACTCTTTCACTTCATCACTGCTGTGTATGTGCTCCATGGGAGTGACATAGGTGCTTATGTAGGTGGGTTCCTACTTACGGAGAAAATCGTGTTACGTCGCACCATAGGAACGGATCTCCGACATAAACCCAGGACCTACTGTACTACCAATGACTTTTGTCTGATGTTTGGAATGATTTGTCACCACTTTTTCTCCTGTGTTGAGAGAGAAAACAGCTATGTTTTTTCTGTATGTTCACTTTTTCCTTTGCGGGGCTCCTGGCCTTCATTCTAAAACTCTGGGTGTGGGAACCATGGCAACTGTTCAGATAAAGGAGGTGTTTTGTTATTGTTATCAGGGATGTATACTGACCCCTTCTATTCCTTGTTTCTTTTAACTAGGAAGGTAAAGCGTGAAGTAAAAGTTTTGGCAATGCTTAGTCATCCAAATATTGTTCGCTACTATAATAGTTGGGTTGGAGAAGATTACAACAAAAGGTAACTAACAGAGAAATTCTCATAGACATAATATGATGGAGGAAACTGTGATTGGCTATATGTGGGCCATTAATATATTTAATAATCACAACAAGGATGATAAAAGATAAGCACTTGAGACACTGTTATATCTCCATTCTGCAGGTAAGGAGTCAAAGAATAATCTTTCCCTTCCTCCTCTCCTTGCTCTAAACTTGTTTTCAAACCATTTTTTCTGTCCTCAGCTGCTTTCAGAATCTCAGGTTTAGCTTTCCTGACTTTGTTGTTTCATAGATAGAGTTGCACACATGCCCCGACTTCAGTTGAGGCTGGAGAGACAGTCTTGAGAAGGAGTTTTGAACATGTAGATGCTGCAACTGGAGTGTCCCTCCTCAGCTGCCAGCACTTTTCTTTCCCTCTCTCAGGCCCCCCAGATGCAATCAAGGAGTCTCCCTCAAATGCCACAACATCACTCATGGTGGGGTGGAGAGCAGTGAAAATAATTTTAAGACCGTGAGCTTAAGGTGATAGGGGCACCTCACCTTGCATACTCATGTTTTGTCTCAACTAAACCACTGCCAAAGGGCTGGAGGATTCAAAAGATGGAAGTCACCCAGTGTTTCCTGTGGATGGTCCTCGGGCTGCAATCCTGAGGCCATTGTGGGCTTGTTCATTCATGATCTCCTGCCACCAGCCCAGTCAATGTACTGAGAACTTTATCATCAGTTCAGTTCTTGCCTGGCAGCACTTGGGACTTCAGCTTTTAGCAAATTCTTGTCTACCTCTTTCTGTCTTCTAGCCAACGTATGTTCAAAGAATATAAGTTAATATTGAGGCCCACGTATTGCTGAAAAAGAAAACACGGTTAGCAAAATCAGTCCTCCCAGTTATATCTCATAGCAGTTTGCTGGCACTTCTTTTAGAGTACCTATCCTTGTGCTATTGTTTAGGTTTGTTTTCCTTTACCTCTCTCCTATTCAACTGTCATCCCATGACAGTAAGGATAGAGCCTAACTCATTTCCTCATCTCTAGGTGCCTATTCACAAAATGATGCTCATTATATTGAGGGTGAATCGCAATATTTAAAAATTACTTTATATAATAATGAGATTTGGTTTTCTGCAATTCCATTGTATTAATGTTCCCTTTCCTATCTTTTAGAAAAGTGATTAAGGACCTTCAGCATTAAAGAATGGACAGGCTTATACTTTATGAATTAGCTAAACCAATAACGCCCTGGACATCTGGGAACTGAGGTTTAAATAAAAAATGGTTTATTATATTGTGATTCAAATTTACTTATTTAGATTTCTGTTTTGAGACATGTTTTGTGCTCAGTTAGCTGGAGCGTCATCCCATACACCGAAAGATTGCTGGTTCGATTTCACGTCAGGGCACATACCCAGGTTGTGGGTTCAATCCTTGGTTCATGTGGTCAATGTTTCTCTCTCACATTGATGTTTCTTTCTCTCTCCCTTCTTCTCTCTCTGAAATCAACAAGAATATATCCTCGGGTGAAGATAAAAAAGAAGAGAAGGTACAATTTTAAGAAAGAAATGTACTAGTATTTTTTATGAAGTTATTTTTATTGTTACTTCTCTTTGAATTTTATATCCAGATCATTGCCGAAGTACCTTTTCATCCAAATGGAATTCTGTGAGAAAGGGACATTGGAAGACTGGATTGAGATCAGAAGAGGGGAGATTCCAAACAAAGATTTGTCTTTGGGATTATTTAAGCAAATAGTAACAGGAGTGGATTATATACATTCAAAAGGGTTAATTCATAGAGACCTTAAGGTAAGTGGAAAATTGATCAACGTAATTTAATAATTGAAAAATCCATCTCTTCAAATTTTAGAATTGGTTGACCGTCGTGAAGCAATATCTCTGATCCTCTAAAGTGCAAATGGATCTAGAACTTGTCACACATTTCATTCCCTAGATCTACTCAGAAGATCTCCAGGGCGGGTGAGCTTGTCAAGAACCCGAGCCCTGCCATAACCGGTTTGGCTGAATGGATAGCGTGTCGGCCTGCGGACTGAAGGGTCCCAGGTTCGATTCAGGTCAAGGTCATGTACCTTGGTTGCTGGCATATCCCCAGTAGGGGGTGTGCAGGAGGCAGCTGATCAATGTTTCTCTCTCATCGATGTTTCTCTCTATCCCTCTTCCTTCCTCTCTGTAAAAAAATCAGTAAAATATATATTTTTTTAAAAAAAGAACCTGAGCCCTACAGGAAGAAGCCCATTCACTTCTGGTGCTATCTGGCTGAAAGTCACTCCAGTTGCAAACACTGAACGTTCCGTGCACATAATGTTCGGGACTGGCACAGCCAGCTGGCTGCTCTGTCTCTGCGCCCCTGCTACTTGGGCTTGTCTGAGAGGCAGAAGGACTCTGATGACTGTGGCTTTGGGAATTGGGTTCTATTCTCTCTCAGCCTTTACTCTGAGGGCAGTCACAGCTGCTAGGTCCAGAGTCTAGAATTTCCTTGGCATTTGGACACCGCTGCCCCATGATTGGAAAATTGCAGTAATCCAAATCTTGGAACCTGTAGCAAACCGTTGTATTTTCATTTCTTCTGTCTTTCTAGCATCCTACGTGGTCTAGAAGAGCATTTTCCCATTTATGCATCTCATCACAATGAGGGAATAGAGACAGAATAACTTTACAGTCTCTCCTCCATACTCTGTGCCCTGTGATGTACCCACTCTCATCCCAGACAAGTCATGCGGAATCCTGTCGTTGTCTCTTTGCTCACCTTCTTGCATGGGACTCTCTTCCGCCTGTCCCCTCTACCCCAGCTCCTTTATGAAGCCTTTCCAGATCACTCCGCATCAGGCAGAAGCACCTCGTCAATATGCATGGTGCTATCTGCTAGCCCACCTATCTGAAATGTCAAGGAATGAGGAATGAAGCAAGTGTTTCCTTGAGTGAAATAAGCACTTATGTAGATAGCAGTTTGTTGGGCCCTTAAATGATATGCATCCTTGGTCTTCCCTGTGGCTGAATGGCTGATGCCTTCATGTTGGAGTCCACCTGGTTCCAATATCTCTCTTTAACAATATCTGAAGGTGTTCTTTGAAGTTGGAACATAATAAGGACTATGTTCAAAAAGATACATTTAGAATAGCTATACCTTCACTTTGGAATAAATAATACTTAGCGTTACATGAGAAACCAGAGGAATGAAGCAAGTGTTTCCTTGAGTGAAATAAGCACTTATGTAGATAGCAGTTTGTTGGGCCCCTAAATGATATGCATTCCCAGTGGCTGAATGTCTGATGCCTTCATGTTGGAGTCCACCTGGTTCCAATATCTCTTTTTAACAATATCTGAAGGTGTTCTTTGAAGCTGGAACATAATAAAGACTATGTTCAAAAAGATATATTTAGAATAGCTATACCTTCACTTTGGAATAAATAATTCATAGCGTTACATGAGAAACCACGCACAATTATCTATTTGTGCAGTAATTTTTAAGAAAATACAGAAGTATGGGTATTAACTCCCATACCCTCCTGAGGGTGGATTAGTGCAGTTCTGACGGGTGCGGACTGGAGTCTGCCTTCTCCTGCACCTCTCCGTATCCCGCAAGGCCCCTGCCCCAGGTTGTGGACTGATCTTTTCTTGTGTCTGTTTGCAGACTGTTTGCTCTATCACTGCAGTGGCTCCAAGGTCAGGCTTTAATACTACTGAGCCTTCTTTCATCTTCTCCAACTTTTCTAGCTTCACTGCTACACTGTCTGCTGTCTTGCATCCGAAATAGGGTGCAAACGAAGGCATGCACGTTTCTTAGTGACATCTAGCAAAATACCAGCTGCAGGTGGCTTTGCCCGAGAGGGGTCTTTATCCAGTAAAGCTCCTCTTAGGGGAAGCCTGCCAGTGTTCACCACATTCTGTTGGAATCCTAAGAACTAAACCAAAGGCACTGAGGGAGGGACATAGACGTTTCTGGAGTGAGGGCTTATGGTTCTTGGAGGTTCAGTCCCCTTAGGCCCAGGCTCTTTGGTCATCCTCTGAGCCTCAGACCTGATTCCTGTACCTCCTATATAAAATTAGCACTCTTTTTTATGTTCTACAACCCAACATTTTGCTAAGTCATACTATAACTGATTAAACCAATGGTGCATTATTTTTCTTTTTAATGAACAGTAAATAAGCAATCTGATATTTTACTACACAGTCCTAGCCATCTTATATAGCAATGTAAATGTAACCTCCTGTTTCTCAGAGTCAGGTGATAGAGAGCCTTGTGTGGGACTAGCAGCTGCGCTTGCAGACCCAACATATTCCTGCACTGGAACTTGAATTCGCATTGGCACATTTTTTTCTCCACACCCACCGCACACACATGCACAGCTTTCCATCTGTATTCTTGGTGCTAGGTTCCAGTCTCACTGTTGCTTGTCTCAATCCAACTGCTAATTTCTGTGTTGGATCTTTTCTGGCAGGCTTCTTAGAAGCTCCTCTTTCAGCTGCCCTGGGCTGATGTCTCTTCCCTCTCAGTGCCTTTACTCGGCCCTCTCATACGTGTTAGGTCATGAGGTCTGTGTGTGAATATACAGCCCATCATTGTATTGAAAGTCTAGCTTTTTCAACAATAGAAAAATAATAATTTCCTCCTCAATAACCATTTCTTTTCATGGTCTTTAGAAATTTGGTCAATACCTTCTATAAATTTGTGGAATAGGATGAACACCCCTCCCCTATCTGCTCAGAGTCACATGGGAAAAATACTTCAGTGCTTGTTATCAGCTTCCAGTTAACTTGGTATGCCTTCAGGGATAGAGGGGGAATGTTTTTGAAGAAGGTGCCAGAGGCCTAGAGAAATTGACATCGAAGAAGACCCCATGAGAAGTTGTGCCCAGAATATCCTGCAGCATTACTGGGTAAAGACCCGGTCTGAGAATCTCAACATTGGAAGGGATCTTACTTCGATCCCCATAGAATGCTGGTCTCATATTTGCAACATTTCCACCAAGTGGATGTCCAGTTCTGTCTTCCTGGGATAGGGAACTCTTGGACTCGCATTTTTGGAACCCCACTATTAGTATATTTAGGTTACACTAAAGCAAATCGTTTGGCCGTTTCCACCCTCTAGCCTGGATTTATTCATGGGGCCATGCGGTGAATCCATCTTCCACTTAACAGCTCTTCAGATATTTGGAGGCAGCTCTGCCCAAGCTTTCTTTGCTGACAGAGAAGTCCCAGCTTCCTCAGCTGGCATTTTAAAGACCTGTGATACTAATTTTTCTATTTTGGGCTACCTGTGTAAGTTTAAATGCCTTACACACGGGCGGGCACAAGTAGGTGTACAGTTGTGAGTACACAAAACTGTTTATTCTTGTACTATTACTTACTAATTATTGTATTATTTTCCATGTGAACAACTATAACCCTACTTTTGCCCACCCCTGTAAGTACTTCTAAACAATAGCCGTTGCTAAATATGATTTGGATATGTGATGCCATTCTGTCAGAGTGGTACTTATGAATTAAATATTGTGTTTTCTTTTACTGTAGCCAAGTAACATATTTTTAGTAGATACAAAACAAATAAAGATTGGAGACTTTGGACTTGTAACCTTCCAGAAACATGATAAACAGCGGACGGAAGACCAGGGAACTCGACTCTACATGAGCCCAGAACAGGTTTGGTCCCTTTCCTTTCTTTCTCTATTTTTTTTTAATTATTTCTTTCATTTTAAAGAAATTATAAAAATAATAGACACCACCGATAAAATTAAAACAGTACAGAAGTGTATAGAATAAAAATGGGAAATTCCCCTGAACCTTTTTTTGTAATTGTTACTTTGCTAACAACAGTTTGTTGTCTATCCTTTTATTTTTTTAAATCTATTTATTACCATTATTTTTTAATCCTCACCTGAGGTTATTTTTCCATTGGTTTTTTACCCCCATTGATTTTTAGAGAAAGTGGAAGAGGGAGGGGAAGACAGAAATATTAATGTGATAGAAACACATTGATTGGTTGCCTCCTGCCTGAGCCCGACCAGGGCTTGGGCTGGGGAGGATCCTACAACCCAGGTACATGCCGTTGACCGGAATCAAACCTGGAACCCTTTGGTCTTCTGCAGGCTAGTTTGTTGTCTATCCTTTTAGATCATTTTCTGGGAGTTATAAAAACATACAAACACAAATGTGTATTTACATAGACTTTTTTTTAGATGAAAATATACATACTTACACTTTTACTGGAATACTACAATGTTCTCTTGTGACTTGATTTTTTTTCACTCAATAATGTATCATAATTTTTCCATCTGACATAAAAATGTCATTTAAGTTTTTTGTGGAGTATGAAAGTAGAAGATAATTAA